AGCTAAAAAGTTTCATGATAAAAATAGCAAAAAACTCTACGATGAATTCAGATATCAAATTGTTGTCATTTGTTTACACCTTATCAAGCTGGAATATTCTTAATCAGATAAACTCTTGAAATAAATTAGCCACCGCTTTTTTTCCCAGTGATGATGAAACAAAAATAGAAGACACAATTTATACATTCTAGCCAATAGTTTAGCACCTCTCTCCTGAAAAAATTCAAATTGCAACAAAACGGAATTCGTATCATTCAAAAAAATTAACGGCGGATGTATTAATAATGAAAGATTTGAAAATGTACGTTTACAATGAATATTCAGCTTCAAAACCCGAGTTATAAGAATTTCGATTTGGTTTCTGGTTCAACCACACTTTGAATTCTTTTTATCATTGTGGTTTTGGTAGATCGAACGCAACCCCTACAGTTGAACAGCTAATACCGGACTTACGTCTCGTTTGGAATGAATTTCGCTAAAGATGAGTGATGGAGAAGGAAATGATGTGAGTACATGTGGTAAGTTTACTGCAGTGCAAAGAAAAAAAGGCATTGATGATTAATGAATATACAGCAACATAGACCACGGAACCTGGAAATCAAACGTGATCCAAGGTCTTTAATTTTTAATTTGTTTTATGCACGCGGTCACTTAGTGAAAAGATTGACGTTTCACAACAAAGTAAATTCATGAAATAACTTAGCTGCCCCCTGGTGATTTTGAGATGTGTATTATTTTACTTTGGTCGCTTCGTCTAAGCTAACGACAGTGCCAGTGTTTGGTGTCTTTCCACCCAAAGGTAAGATGGCGCTGCTTTTTGGAAATTTATCCTTTTTTAGTCTTTCCCTCCCTCTCTTCAGAATTTTCTCAGCTCATTCGTGATTCAACATAAAGAAAAATCATCTCTTCACTTTTTTTACAGTCGTAAGCAACGTAGTTCCGTTCTATGGCTGATAGGAAAAAATATAGATGATGCAAAAAAGAGTGTGTTCATGAGCACGTATTTTCTTTTTAAATTTCTTAATAATCGACGAATCGTTATTTATGATAACCTGTGAAAGGAAAATATTTTAAGAGGACGTGTTACTGTTGTCCAATTGAATGTCATGTTATGGGCAAAATATGAAATTAGCTTTTTTCTTGCCGTTGATATCATCTTTTCCTAAGCTTCTAAGCTTCAAATGTGGTTTACAACTAATACGGGATTTTAATGACATTTCTGTCTATTGCGGTTTTTGAGAATACATTTTTTCATTTGATGACTGTTTTGTGTATTTCGGCGATTCCATTTAGATCCGGCACACAGGGGTATTCTTGGTAGCCAAATGGGGAGTTACACGGAGCAAGCGAGTTGTCTTTAGCACATGGTGTTTTGAAGGGGGATGAAACTCTATCTTTAAAGCCGGTTAAACTATAGGCCATCGACAATGAACATTCTATTAGTATAAGTGATAGCAACGTGAAAAGAAACTGAGTCATCAAAAGCTTATCTCCAAGTGTTTCGGATAATAAAATACCAAGAACTCGGGTTTGCCTTCGTTGATTTTGCCATTTGGTTTGAAATCAGGCAAACAATTAAGACGCCTGCGGCCTTAAATAATGAGGAAAAGTGTGTGTTGAGAATTTTTTTTACCATGTGATTGAGTGTCGTGGTACTCTCTGATTTTATTCCTCGCAAGCAATCACTTAATATTAAATGTTGGTGGAGTATGTCATAGTTACTGACGTCATTTTATTCAAGTTCCTCGATGGATCACGGCAGAGAGCCAATCGTAACATCTCTAGTATGGTTTTTTTTCCTTTCTTTTTTCATTTAGATAAACGGATGTATTAACCAAAATTTTACAGGCGCATTTTTCATAGTCAGAGAGCTTCAAAGGACGGAAAGGAGTAATTTTGGAATTTTTCTGATATGGTTGTTGTAATTGATATAAATAATACTTGTTTGAGAACGTGCTCTATGGTTGCGTAATTGCCACTGAGAGTTCTAAACGCAGCCCTCATTCTGGCTGCCGTAGTTTGACAATTTATTGAAGTCACAGGAAACTGATAAAATAAATAAATAAAAATTAGATAGATAAAAATATAAATGCACGAGTGAAAATATAAGCCACGACATTCCAGCCTGAGATTTTGCGATCCAATTGCGTTGGTTATCGTTCACCAAGTAAGCTATGAAGCCTCTGAATTGGGAAAACGTTAACTTTAGGCTCATGTGATAAAGAGACGAATGAATAAACAAAGATTACTACGTTTGACGTTTTATGTATCAAACATATTTCTTATTTCTTATCTTTTGTGATGCACGTGTGACAAAATCCGTATTTTCGACTTATCGCAGTCATCGAATTTACTTTACTTATTTTTTCTCCTCTTACTTTCTACTGGGTTTTGTTCGACCCCTTCATCAAAAATTTCTAGAGTGAGAGGACAAGCCTCGTAGCCACAAAATTTACAGAGGAGAAATACTAATCGTTGGTTGTCAAATTTTAAAACTTAAAAGTTAAATGAAAAGAGAAGTTGTCAAAAAGCTGTCAATCTACTGAAATAAGTAAACAGAAGCATCTTACACATATTATACGTTTTTTCAATAAGATGACGAAACTGATTGAAAAAGTAGACCTCAATTTTGATAAAATCTGATTTGAGAATTTTTATGACACATGGTTGAAAAAAGTTTCCTGAATCCACAATTTCAACAACCAAACTTTGGTAGTCCTAAGGAAGCCACGTGTCAGGTTATAAAGTAAACGATAGCAAATGGAAAAGTAATTGCCCTCGCATTGGTAACAATTATTTAAGCAGTGTCATTAACTTTTTGGGGAAAAAAATGTATACAAACGTGACAAATTCAGAAATACGAACCTACTGTACTCGTTTGATATGATAATCATTTCCACGAGGCGTTTTCGACGGATTTAGTTGATGAGGCAGAATTTGTTTATTATGTGAAGCAACCTTAATATCTAGTAAAAACGTGGACAATGTTCGCTTTTTTCCTTGTCTCTGAATTGCTTGCTGTAACACCGACACGCTCGTTTTAATGCCTTTTTAGATGTACTATATATTGAAAAAGAGAGAAATTATGGCTGTCATAATTCAAAATTTTAATTTGCTTTTACTGCCAATCGAAAATAGCACTTCTGGGCATTTTGTAGGTATCAGTTAACGATATTCAGACTCAAGGTGTCTTAGAATTTAAAGTAAAGAACCAAGTTTCCCCGACCCAAGCGATAATTACTATGGAAGATGCCGGTTTATTAAGAAAGGCAACTGTTCCGATGCCTCCAGTCTACACGTTTACGGACACTGGCAATAACTATCGTAAAGATCGGTATCGGACAGATTCATGTTTTCATCGTTGATATCGGTGTTCTTAATTTAGGTAAGATAAAAGTCCCTCTTTGTCAAGAATGTAGAATGTTGTAATCCGTTTTTTAACAACAGCAATTTATCGGTTATGAGATACATTCTTCCTAGAGAACGATGAAATGAAAGTCATCGATGGAAATCATGACAACTTCGGAAAAGGCGAAATGAATCTCGGCGGACAATAATCAGATACAGATGATAAATGTTTTTCTGCACGTTGGTTAGTCGCTCGGCTTCCTCTCGTTTGATCGCAGTGGCAATTAAAATATATTAAAGTTTTGCACTGCCAATCATTATCAACTGAGCTTGCATTCAGTTCATTTTTTTCACTGGGTTTCCCGAATTATGTTTATGAGGATTACCTATTTTGAAACTCAGATGTTAAACAAAGGGGTTTGTGGCTATGGTTGGCAGTAAATGACTAGGTAGTTTATCATTTTAAGAAATTTTGGTTTCACAAAGCTGCAGCTGTTTGCTCATTCAAGATGGCTTTGAGGTTTTTTGCCAGTGTTTTGAGGTTGGTGAGAACGTTTTATCCGATTTAGAACCAAAGAAGGGAAATGCTGACTTTAACACTAATTACAATGTAGCAGCGAAGGTGGATCTAAAACAGTGAACAATTTTGATAACTTAGGTAAGGTGGATGATCTCAGTTTTTGTTGAGTGTTGTTTCTGTACGTGCTATCACTTTGACGGAAAAAAAGAGAAATACGCTAGGAACTCGTTTTAATTGTTCTCAGTAAAGGGGAAAACATCAATGAATAATAAAGCCACCAGCGACGTTGGAGGCTTTCTGGTTTTGCCCAAATAGCGCATGCAAAGATGCTTTTTAACGTAACTAAAAAATATATATCTCCAAATTAAGAGAGAGAACATGTACGTCTGGTGAGTGGCAGTTCAATCTCGATAAGGTGAAGGATATTGTATCAACCTTGCTAGAGTTTCCCTTGTTTTTCTCGAAATGCGGTCAAAGTTTTAAATTAAAAGTATCGTCACTTCCTTTGGTTGAAATAGTTAATTCTGTGTTCGGTTTGTTAAGCAGTCAAAGACAGAAAATGTTGTAGAAAGGCTAATTATTTGGTAAACACTTCACATTTCGGGGGAGGAAACATTTCCAGGTCCTCGCGCACTTTTTTCTGTTAGAAATTTTTATGAAACAATTGTTTCTGAAGTCCTCAAATTATTTTTGATATCTTCGTGGTATAGAATGCAAGTAAATGGCCACGTTTACTTTTTGACTGAGGTATAAACTTTTGTTCAATTTTCGTTGAGTTTCGCCTTTGTAAGATTTTTATTCCTCAATTGGCTTCATTACCTTGGCATTTACATTAAAAGATAGGAATTGTACAGAGAGGCTTAGCCGCCGGCCACCTTGTGGTTCAATAAAATCCGAAAGCATTTGCGCGATAAGGGCACAACTGTACTCAATCTGTGACACACGGATAAATCGAATGACAGATTTTGAAACATTGCTCAATTTGACGTACAAGCTTTTCCGGTTTCCGGCCGTTCTCGATTTAGCCTATCTTGAAAGGTTTATAGCAGTGCGCAACGAGTGAAAGATCGCGGACTATCCACCTTAATTATAATTGGGTTTTCACTAAGGTACGTTTCATTCTTTTCTTAGTTTTCGATCGGAACCGAGTTGGAGTGATTATTAGAAAATATTGTGATCATAGATACTTTGAGGGAAGGCTGAAAATAATGACAAATAATTTAAACCAGACGAAAGTAGGTCAACGCATAATTAATGGTGAGATATAGCCTTTCTTTGGAAAAGTATAGGATGATTCGCAATATTTTTGTGCTAAGCCCACGGATTGAATGGCTATTTATGAGTGAGGGTTGTTCCATGGAATACCAAGGGCCATCTTTTTTCTGTAAAATCCTTTTGAATGCCTTCCCAAATCTGTGGAACCTAATTATCTCGATATGAAAGAGAAGTTTTAATAACCGCTTTTATCAAGAAAAATGGTTTCGAAATATTTCATATTTGTTCCGTTCTTTTAATTTGTAGATAATTTGCACACAAGATGTGATGAAAAAGAAGCTCAATTACCGCTTTTATGAAGAAAAGTAGTTTTGAAACATTTCATATTTGTTGAATTGTTTTAATATGTAGATACTTTGCACACAGGATGTGAGAAGTTCGTTAAAGCTTTAGAGCGTAGACATCAAACTTTGGAATACGCTTTTTAAGCCTTGAAAGAATTACGTGACTCTTTAATAAACCTTTCGGTGGTACAAGACAATAGCGGGTTTTCTAGACTGAGCTAAGAAAACACCGACCAGACAATCAAAATCCAGTTACTGGCCAGACAAAGACATTATTATGATTCATACCTAATAGGATATCCTACCTTTCATATAAGATTTATTTTATGTCGACCTGTGTCTTTTTAAAAAAACATATGTTGCAAAGTAAGCGTCCTTAAAGAATCATCAAATTAAAAAAAAACCGCAAAACATAATAAAAAAGGATAAGAAATGGCAGGATATCACTGATGACAGCATGGACGGAAGCATGCCAGAATGGTGACGTCAGTGTCAACGTAATGTCCTTTGAACAACTTCAGAACACAAAGTGACAATTAGGAATGTAATGCAAATAGGGAATGAAATATAGGGAAGTCATCTTTACAAAAATTTGCAACCATATTAATTGGCGTGCAAAGTAATATCCAGAAAATTTTTGAAGAATTTAAAGAAAAGGTTTCCTAAGGGGACATTCGGCGAGAACATTGATTGTTAAACCCAAAGATAATGAGAAATTGTAGAATATTGCTGGCTAGTAATGATGAAGCCATTACGATATTTCAGTAATACGACAACCATTATGTCGCCGAACACGGAACTTAGTCACATTTGTCCCTGTTCGAGGCTCCTTACCATTTGAACTAACGTTAAATCTCACAGGATCGCTTATGTCATTTTTAATTTCTATTTCTTAGCTTTTTTACATTTGCATATTTTTTATACCTCTATTGTTTTGGTGTCCCGTTCGCGTATTGTTTTTTGGGCGTTTATACACTATGGTTTTTTCAATAATTTCTTCTTATCCTGTAAATAACGTTTCTTCATTTTTTATTACTCAATAAAGAGAAAGATTTAGGTAAAGAGAAAAATTTATAAAAGTGTTAACAAACCCTACTGCACCATCGAGCGAAGAGAGAACATTAACATTATCCACGCTATAAACAACCAGGGCCAGAGCTATTGAGAAAAATAGATTGGTTTCTTTTTTTTCTTCTTTCAGAAGATGGCGGGCAATTTAACTATGTTTTCAAATCGCACAAGTCAAATGAGCTGCAGACAAGAAATATTGGACAGCAAGTCGTATCACTATGATCTAAACATTTCTATTATTGTGATAAACACACCGTTTGCCATATTTGCTGTTCTAAGCAATCTCTTGATTGTAATCACAATCGGTAAGTCTCAAGAACTTCGAGTCCCTGCGAACATTCTTCTTGGTAGTTTGGCCGTTACAGACTTGCTAGTTGGTTTGATTACTCAGCCTCTGTTTATTACCTGGCGCTTGATGTTACACTACCCATCAACCATCTGTAACTCCGAAGTCGTTCATTCTCTATATGAATGTTTCCTCCATTTGTGCGCGGGCGGCTCTTTCCTCAGTCTCGCATACCTCAGTACCGACCGTTTTCTGGCAGTATCCAAGCCGTTACATTACCGTGCTAACGTCACAACAACACAAGCCGCGCGTAATATGGTCATACTGTGGCTTGCATGGATTGGTATCGTTGTTCTCCGCTACTCGGGTATTGACGAAGAAACCAATCAAACCATTACTTCGGTCATTGCTGGCACTTTGGTAATATATCTTGTTGCTGCTCAGATAGCCTTGATAGTCAGCGTCAAGCGCAACAGTATTCATGATTTGCTTTCAGAGGGAAACGCTACCGTCATCGCTTCGAAAAGAGAAGCACGAATTGCGTTAACCATTGTTTACATTTTCTTAGCTCTCCTGGTTTTCCTCCTCCCCGCTGTCGTTGTTCAAATTGTTTTGGGCTTCACCAGCAGTAATAAGAGTAAAACCGAGTTGAACTTAGCCATTTCAGCTCTTTTGATAAACTCTTCTGTAAACCCACTTATCTACTTCTGGAGAGGCCGAGACCTGCGCAAGGCAGCACGTCTTCTCTTTCTGGGCCCTACGACTAAAGCAGGCGATAGCAGATTGTCGTCTAATAGCCCTGATAAAAACAGCGGTGATAACAGTGGAAGGTCTGTTGAGGAAACTGTGTAGATAAATTATGTTAAAAGAACCCTCCCTATGACAAAAATGTAAAATTGCAATAGAAATTCAGAGATACTGTACATATGTCCTAGTTTAAAACGATTTCAAACCAATTTGATGTTTCCTCTGTGTTCCAGCTACCTTACCATAATCTTAAAACAAAGTAAAAATTAAAATAATACAACTTATTTGAAATTAAGTCAAACTGAAATCAATTTTAACCTCGGCATTTCAGTGTTAAAACATAGTCCTGCCTTTTACACTATCTTAATAGTGTTGGAACACTATCTTGATACAACGAGATGTAATTGTGATTTAGAACACTGACATTGCTTGACTGGAGTTAAATGTTTTGTAACTGAATCGCGAAAGGAAACCAAGGGTACTCAGCGGGCTTTATAAACGTCTGTAGATACGCTCTCCCAAAGAAAGGAATCGCGAGTGTTTTCAGTCCATTTAAAGAGATAAAAACAAGGTTGCTTTCATCTTTGTTGTCGAAGGCTTCAGGTTCAACTGAGGGGACAACCACTTTTTTCCTACCCTAAATCGGGCGTTGACGAACTCAAAGTAGGGGTTGAAGTTGATAACTGCAAAATCCAGACTCGACGCATTTGTCTCTGTGTGAGATATATGTGTGAGATATATGTACGGTATATGTACTGTCAATAATGAGGAGATCAAGTGAGGTGGTGTGAGATATCTCACATGAGCTATGCACTACTGATGCATTTATGGCTAACAATAGTTTTCACTTTATCTGCCCCACCTTTTGATGTTATAAATTTTTTCATTATAAAGAGAATTCTAACAGGTTTGAAGCAGATTCATGTAGTTGTGGGTTACGATGAAATTTTAACATTTGCATTAATAAAAGTTTTAATCAGTCTGATATGAGACTAATGATATTTTTTAATCCAGCGCAGAGACATGAGATGGAAACATTTAATATCCAGTTTCTCCTTTTTTATGCCATTGGATCAGTTTGCTAGTTTTTCCTCTCCTATTGATAAGAAGAAGAAGCAATGAAATGTTACAACTGTAACACTGTGGTATGTTTGATTTTGGATTAGCGCATCTTTTTTTCTGTAATTCCTGTTGTTACAAACAGGACACTCGTTTTACGTAGTCGTCGAAAATATCCAGACGTCACCGTTAATATAAACGGTATTGTTAGTAGAACAGAAACTGTCAACCTCACTACCTGAGCGTAACAGAAAACCGATGCAAGTAAAGGGGTGATATCTCTTGGCCTCTTTACCCATCTTAAAAAAGAAAAAAACCTATCGGTCTTAGTTGTTACAAATAGATGTTGTATTTTTCGCAAAGGAAATTCGGAAAAAATGCTATGAAGCCATTTCCGAGATAAATGGCACCAATTTCTAACAAGCGTCCACGAAATATTGTTATGAAAAATACTCTTGACTCGCTAAGCTGTAGTTCCTCCTCGATACGAGGAACTAGTCCCAAGTTTAGCACAATAGCTAACAACTGCGATGTACACTGGATAAGAAAATACATTTCCAGTCCTTAACCAATACCCGCCCACAAAAAGCGGCCATTGCACCTAAGAGAAAGAGGCTTGACTTAAGTTGGTTTTTGATCGATGGACAAAACCGTCATATAAGGGAGTAGCCTTCAGTTTCAGTTAAAAATGACAAATATTTTGGGAACTATGTCATCAAGTCCCCTTCAGAAATGGCTGGCGAAGGAAAAAAAGAACAAAAGAACAGTTTTTCAGAGAAACTGCCTTTATGCAGCGACTTGTTACTCACAGGAATGTGCTAAGTATGAATGGTTACTTGGACAGGTCAGAACCAATTATGCTAATCCTGGAATATGTTTCTCATAGAGATCTTTTTCAGTGGTTGAGAAACAGAAGACTACAAGTAAAATTATTTTTCAACGTCAACAACAGGCGCTGTAAAATTAAATCAAAGGCTTTGGACACTTTGCAAGGACTAAGGTGTAAAAGATCATAAAAGTCGCCTCTGCTTATCATGGAAAATGTCTGTGTAAAGGAGACGCAAGCTTTTTTATATTAACTGTTTGAACAAGCTGATATGGTAAATTGTTTCTGACAGAATGTTTTACTTATTCCAGAACCAATGCAAAAAGGGCATTGATCGCGTCATTTTTGGTTCCGTGGCCGATCTTACAGATGGCGATAATGAGTATAATACAATCGAACCTGAATTATACCGTATTAAGCGGTTGTCCTGTATTAGGCCGCCATCCTGTATCAGGTGGTCGGTTGCCAAAGTCCCGAATATGTTTCCCCTTAATTAATGTAATATTTCTTTTTAAAGTGGTCACCTCTATCTAACAGTCGCGGTCACCCTTTTACTAAGTTCCAAAAGCCTGTTTGTATTGTCTTCCATTAGTAGGTAGCGGTCATTTAAAGCCGAACTCATTTTTAAAAGTGCCTACTTCTAAATCAAAAGGTGAAAGATGTATCTACAATTTGCACTTAAAATGAAAGATTTTAACGAAGTAAAAGTACTACCCCCGATCGTCCCAAAAACTGTATGCGATCGGGAGCTCTTTTCAGAGCTCTTTGAAACCCTTCTCCATCCAATGATTCTAAACATGGTGCCACTATAGGTTGACGTTGCTAACCCAACGTTCGGTTTACAAATAAATGGCGAAGGAGATGGAGTGAAGTTCCGGAAGGCTCAAACTACTGTTTGAGCTGTTACAAATAAGTTCATCACAACTTGGATACCGACTCACGAAATCTGGTCGCGAACAGGTGAGGCAAGAGCTAGCGCAGAGGTACGGAGATCTCGGATCAACATCCAGTCCACGTCAACGGTAAAAAGAGGAAACAGCTGAAAGATGAGACGTGGATTTGGGTGTCGCTTCAACCTCACGAAATTGATCAGTATGCCAACGACGTGATGGCGCACCCCACACTAGAAAATTCAGTGCATCTCTGGAGGCAAAGACTGCAGATCTGTACGAGCACATGTGCTAGAACCTTACCCACTCTGGGAAAGATTTTACAGAAGTTGGCAAGAGGCAACAGCACTTGACACTTAACACAATTACAGTAAGTTGGCTTTTTTTTTACATCGATGATTTACTTGACTGGTGGAGACACTTAGCCAAATAACTTTTATTTCATAATTATCTCAAATAGGGTATATCTTAACAAACGTTTTCCATGGATACCAAATAGTCAATTCAAACACAACACGAAATCCCTGACATAAGAAAAAGAATCATGTAGATGAACTTAATTAACTGATTCTGATCTCGTTATTGTTCTTTTTTATTTATTTATTTTTTTCAAATGGTCTCTTGTGTGTGCAGAGATAAAGCGCTGTTTTTTGCCGAATCATATGTATTAGTGCCGTAGTTACTACAAGTTTGTGACAAGAATGGCCTGTCTAATGAACTGGATCTGACCGCTGAAATTGAAGGGAATGAAAGTGCCTGGCTAAGACTTGAGGACAACTAATGGTCAGCATGGCTGATGATGGACCAGGATAACGTACGGTAAATATTATCACCCATATATGCATATCCTCATTTTTCATGTCCCGAACATGATCAGAATGTATGGGTCATTAAAGAAATTTAGTGATCAAGGTACTGTTGCTAAATTCCATTTTTCTGGTAGTGCTGCTTGATGTATCAAAAAATGTTGTAATAAAAAAGGTACTTACAATGCCCATACCACAGAACAATACTTAACCTATAACCTTTTGGAACAATGGTGGCAAACAGGAGGTGGCAAAAAAATATCCGAGAATTTTAATGGAATCAGCTACAGAAGAGCCAAACAGTGACATCCATGTAGCTCCACCAAAACGAGTTCTTGAGCAAGACGAAGAGGAACTAAAATAACTCAATGTTGCAGAACTTGTTAAGCTCCTTGTGAATATAGTTAGCTACCAACCAAGTCTATGAAATAAAAATGATTTAAAACAAGGAATTCCAACTTTTCCTTGTTACCCGATTGCTAGGTTAGTATCCTCCAGCACTTTTTATTTTCCTTGTTGTTTGATTTTTGTGTTATTATTTCGCGTACCTTTAGTTTTTCTTGTTCCCGATTGTTGAGTTAGTATCTTGTGCACTTTTATTTTTTCTTGTTATCCAATTATTACTTTATTCTCTCGCACCCTTTTAAGTTTGCCTTGTAAATAGATGTTACGTTAGTATCTTGTGCTCTTGTTAACTTTAGTTTTCCTTGTTTTTCGATTGTTACGTTGGGTTCTGTTGTTCTTTTTAGTTTTCCTTGTTGTCCAATTGTTTGTCACTATCTCGCGTACCGTTTTAATTATCTTCTTGTCCGATTATTCGATAGCATTTTGCACACTTTAAGTTTTCCTTGGTAATCGTTGTTACGTTTGGTTCTCTTGCACTTTTGGTTTTTCTTGTTGTTAGATTGTTACGTCAGTCTCTCGAATTATTTTAGTTTTCCCTGATGTCCGATTGTTTTGTTAGTATCTCATGGTATTTCAGTTTTCCTATTGTTTAATTGTATCTCGCAGTCTTTTAGGTTTACTTGTCGTTTGATCGTTAATTTAGAGTTTTGGACACTTCTTGTTCATATTCGTTTTTGTGCGATTGTTACGTTAGTATCTGCACACTTAAAGTTCGCTTTTCTTTCCGGTGGTGTCTTAGACACTTTTTGTTTTCCTTGTTGCTCAACTTTTACGTTGGATTCTCGTGCACTTTAAGACTCCATCGTTTTTCCAGCTTTACGTTGGTATCTTGTGAAATTTTAGTTTTCTTTGCTATCCTATTGTTATATAGATATTTCGAAAACCTCCATTTTTCCTTGTAGCTCAGTTATTTCGCTATTAATTTCGGGGTCTAAGTTTCACTTGTTTTCTAAAAGTTAAGTTGGTACCTCGCGCACTTTTACTTTTCCTCGTTGGCTGTTTGTTATGTTTGTTAGGTCAGGTCAGGTTTTATCTAAGCCTGCTATCGGTACCATGTAAACCGATACCACCTGTCGCATGAAGTCCCAGCTGTGGGGTGGCCTTAACAGGGACACATAAATCTCTGTTTGGTCCCCGACGCCACGCTAAACCCACCTGTACTGTGTCACCTTGGGAAAGGGACCTTTGCAGGTGTCCACAGTGTGAGTGGTTTACCTCGCACCTTAAGTTGAGGGCGGAAGTCAACGGCGAACCACCACTTGCTGCCTTACGGACCGGAGGTCTTTGTCAAGACCAAAGGCTGAGGGAGTGAAAAACACAAACGTTTGGTTTGTGCTTGAGGGCTGGAGGTCTTTGTCAAGACCAAAGGCTGAGGAAATGAAGAACACAAACGTTTGGTTTGTGCTTGGAAGGAAGTCACAAACATGGATAAGCCTGGGGGTTGAAGCCACAAACATTGACAAGCTTGGAGGTTGAAGTCACAAACATTAACAAGCCTGGAGGTTGCAGTGGCTGGTAGCCACATCTCATTCTCACTCTTGTCCCTGACCGGCAGTTGGTAGCTGCCGCACCTTCCAGGACGACATGCAGGGTAGTGTACAAAGTTACAGCCAATATTCACAGAGGAAAAAAATAGATGAACAGAAAAACTTGGAGACGCGTAAAAGCCGTGGTCTGCGACGGGATCAAGCTACCTTGATAATCTCGGTTGGAATTTTTGATAACCACGGACTTCTGCCTGAGCTGTACTGGTTACGTTAGCATCTCGTGCACTTTTATTTTTCCGTGTTATCAATCATTACGTTAATATCTTGTGTATAGTTAGTTTTCACTCCTATTCAATTGTAAGTTATAATAACTTTTAGAGTTATTCCGTTAGTAAGTTAGCATCTCGTGCACTTTGAGTTTTTTATTGTTATCCAATTATTACATTAGTGTCTTGCGCACTCCAAGTTCTAATTGTTTTTCAAAATTTCAGTTAATTCCCT